GAAACTACATTTAGTTGTCCCCTTTTTTTTTTTTTTTTTTTTTTTTTTTTTTTTTTTTTAAAATGCAATATTCTTTTGCATTTAGTATCTTCATTATTTTGTAATGTGTGACATCTAAATTTATGGTATGCCTTGAATAATTCTCTCACATCCATTGTTAGAAATAACTTTAGTTGATTATTTAGAGAAATGTTTTTATTCTTGAACCTTATTTGTTCCTTTGGCTGGGGAACAAAAACTGGGCCAAATTTTAATTAAGGAAAACCTAAACAATTATCAGCCAATCATCATTCAGATTTATTATCTGAACATTTTAAAACTTGTTGATCCAATAAAATTGTTAAACTTTTTTGCTTATTGATTTTCTTTCTTTCAAATCCAAATTTGCTTTTTAATTTTTTCATTCACTAATTGTTATCCCACATTAATTTATTTAAACTGCTGTCTTCATTTTGCTCATATTTGGTCAGTTTTAGCTCCCAAGCATTGTTTCCATTCTGCTATTAATGCCAGGAAAGATACTTCATATAATTTTTCATGTCATGTCATTTCTGCTTGTTCTGAACCAATGAATAGGAGGAATTCCACTGTCTGATGCAAGGATTGAACTTCTGATCATCAGGTAAACTGTACACATTTAACTGATTCATTGTTATGTATGTTACCAAAAAGAAATCTGTAGGGGACAATGGCTTCAATGTAGCAATCAAGATGAAGATACCAGTTTCAATGAATAAGTGTAGAATGACTTCTTCATTTCAGATGTTTTAAGGAGAAATAAATTAATATTACAAAAAACAAAAAAATCATTTTCTTACAAGTTCTGTTGGGCTTAAATTGACAAGGTACCTGGAATGTTTAAACTTACCCTCTTAGGCAATTTGCTAGTGTTGAGAGATTTATACTCACTGGGTGCTCCACTACTACGGCCTTGTGCCAGACTAGATTTAAGTTTACTAAATAATTAAAATGTCTTGCATAGTATAAGGATTAGCAAACTAGTATTGCATATTATTTACTGGTATAGTGACCTCAAACTTCATTGGGCACCTAACTATTGGGGCCTTATGTCAGACTAAGCTAAGCTGAGTAAATATTAATATGGAACAGTTGTTTGTTTTTTTTTAAGTGCTAATTATGACTAAACTTCAAGGATTCTTTCTTGCTTATTCCCATTATTTTCTTATGAAAAGGCAAAATAAAAATTTTGTTATTAGATATTAATAAATCTGGAGCTATTGTGACACAATCGACTGCTATACAACGGTTGATTAAGATACTTGTGTAGTTAAATGGACTGTAAATGATTTCCTATGTAAAATCAGGATATGAGAGTTTCAAAGCAACCACCTGATGTTCAGGAGTTGGGAAAAAGGTAAATAAAAATCTTTGGGATCAAATGACACTCAAGAGAGACTTGAGTGATCAGTTGTGTCAAGTGGGCCTAATTTAAAAATGAAAAATTTCTAGACAAAAATCTATGAATATGATATGGGAGAACATAACTTAAAATTTCTAAATTAAATAAGGAAAATAATCTGAACAAGTTTGCTTATGTGAGTCACTTTGATGTGTGACTTTCAGAATAGTTAAAAAATACTGGACTGTAATTAAATATTCTGTTGAAACCTAGCCAGATTGTACACAAATTGTGGGTAAGCAAAATGAAAACTCATTAACCAATGAAGTAGTGGTCTTCAGTAGAAGGTAATTTGGTAGGATTGGAAAGAAGTTCCTTGACTATAAACATCTGGAGCACCAAATAATTGATTTCAACAAGTACTGTTTCCAATTAAAGCAACTGAAGACAGCGATTGTTGAAAAGCATCTAGAATTCATTAATAGAAATAGTTTATTCCAAGTGCTATACCACTTGTTTCTTTGTGGTCAGGTAAAAGGTTGTTAGTGGCTAGGAACATTTTTTGCTCGTCTACCATATTCAACAGGTATCCTACCTTTGCATTAGCATTTATTCTATAAAAAAATTAATTCATAAAAAAATTCCCTAAAAGACTGCAAAAGGTACCCAGAGCTGTTCTTTACTCTGGAAGATAAAACATTTTACAAGGATCGAATTATAAAGTTGACAGAAGATCACGGGCCGAAATGGTAAATATTTTATTCAAAAAATAATCTTCCATGTTTCCAATATAAACATATTTTGTTAATTATGGAAGGCAATAAATTAGGGATGTGGAGGTTCCCAGCATTTATCATTGGACAAATCTGTGCTTTCATCAAAAGTGTTCAATGATCCAGGTAATGTTCAGGGAGTTTCAAACTGATCTCTTTATTTAATCTTGTGGATTAGTGGATCAAGTAGATTAAAGCAATGGTTTGTGAATTTGGTGACAGTATTTGTATGTTCAGTTGCTAGGCTGGAACCCTGGACTCGGTGGAAACAGAGCAGGCAATAACTGAACATTACTAAATAAGAACTAGATAATATGTCAGAAGGATGCTAAGAATCTCATCGACTGAACATGTGGCTAATGAAGAAGTTTTAAGGAAAATAGAAACAAAAACGATACTTTTGCTTAGAATCAGAAAGAGACCATTGAAATTTCTAAGAAAAGAGGGTGTGGAGAATCTGACACTCACAGAACATTTAAAAGCAAGAAGGACAGAGAGAAACAACGAATAACCTACCTAATGAACGTTTGTAAATGAATGACAGAACAGGCATTGTGAAAAGACATTCCTTAGTAAGAGTTACGAAGAGACACTGCACATAGAGGAAGATCAATAGGGCACTTTGACGTGGTGTAATGGCTAGCAAGCAATTACGACTGAATAGTGAGTTTTGACCTCATGACCTCATGCCACATCTAAGCTACACGTAAAAAATCACCATAGAAATTTCCACTAAAATCTCTAAATTTAGTAGAAAGTAGTGCATGAGCAATAATGAATAAATAAAAGAGTGGTAAATATATTCAATGGTCTGTTTGTTCTTTATTTATCTTGTATTTGTTGGTGTGTAAAAGTTAAAAACACATGGTTTTTAGGTACCTCCACTAGTTTGGTATAAATTTTCGATACCTAAGGTTTAAAATGAATTTTTAAAAATGAAAAAGCATTCTTGAAGATTTCATTTTAGCTTTAATTGAAATCTACAGGAATAAATTTACTATTTCCAGTCAGTTTTGGAGTACACGTCAATTAATACAAGATCCATTTCAAGCATCGGCAGACATTATACTATCAACGCATTGAAAGTAATGTAATATTTGCATAATTTTCCTTTTTATTCAAATATGCATGTATTATATCGACAATTGCAGTATATTTGAAATAATATGGTTTATTATAAAATGATAACTAGAAAAATCCTGTAATAGAAACAATTGAACGGAAATAATACAAGGGAAGTAACTACGTCAGTTTATATAAAAGTTATCGTTCTTAGTATTTTATCGGTTAAAAAATAACTAAAATAATTTTAATCAATTTTAATTAGTTATTAACTTATTAAGCAAATTTAATCTACTATTAGAACAAATTATCGACAGTATGAAAAATTATGTTAAATCATTTTTTTTTTTTTAGGAAAATAATTTATGTTCTGAAAAAATATTGTTCTATATTAAATCGATAGCTGTGTTTAATTGTGAATTGTTTTTTATCCAGTTTCAAACGCTGGCTGGGCATATCTTGTTTTGTTAAGAAATAAATAGACCCTTAAATATAGCATACCTTAAAACTATATTTTTATCATGTGTGTGTATATATATATATATATATATATATATATATATATTCGCAGTTATTTGTGTCGTCTTAAATGAAACTTGTATGAAAGAGGGATTGCTACCCAAACATGCACACACGCATACACACGCACACATATATGTATTTAGACCTCAAATTTGTGCCCCCACAAATCAAAGATACTGTTTTATCTGTACTGTGACTAAGTCAGCCTCAAATGAATATTCAGTTTCTATACCTTAACTACTTTTCAATCTAATTATTTAATTAGTTTTTAGAAATTAATTAGATTCTAATTAATTTCTAAAAACTAATTAACTTTCTTAATTCATTATTTTCCATTTAATTTTCGTACTCATTAAACACATTCGGAACTTCTTTCAAGCAATTCCTATTCTCTATTATAAAAATGAGACATTCTATTCTGTTTGTTGACTGTTGTCAAGATATCCTCACGGCTCTGTTAACTGTAAGAAAACAATAAATTGACAATCATGCAGAAATTGAAATATCCGTTTAATAAATAATGGCGGCAAATGTGACACCGAAATCTGAAGGTGAAAGATGCTTAATATGAGAATAAACAAAGAAGGATCGAAAAATGTCATTAGAAAGTAAATATAAATAAATCTACGTTTATCTTTGTTTTTCTTTGATTAGGTTCATTTCTTTACAAATGGACTTTTTTTTTTATTGCCTGTCTGTTCCGATCAATCACTTCAAGGACAATAACTCATGCAGAGGTCAAACTTAAAAATATGCACTTCGCACCTCGTGTTGTTTGTGCAAATGCTACTGATATTAAGAAATGAGATTTGTTCTTTAAAAGATTAAAATGAAAAGAAAGACAATCAAAATTTTTGTAAGCAAGTACAAATTGGAGCCAAAATTCTGGCGTCAGTGGTCGTTGTTCTAGCTCTCATTAAAACGAAAATTTTGAAAGCTAACTTTTCAAGGCCTTTTCTATATTTTCACTTGTGTAAATATATTTTTAAGCGCGTTTGAGCAAGTGCTAGTCTAAGCCTAGTAAATACATATCCGTATAATAGACGGAGAGTATTTTAAAGGTTTTTGTAATAATTGTAATGTCTGTAATAATGTGTAGCTTTAAAAAGGCGACATCAGGTAGCAGTGTCTTTTTGATAACAACGAAAAATGCTTACAAGGAAAGGAGGTAGAAAATCGATTTTGTGAAAGAATATATTTAAAGCTTCACATGGGAAAAAAACTTTGCATAATTGTAAGGATTTAACAAAATATATCGTCATTTTTATAGCATGGATAAACAGAAACTAGTCTCTCTCTCTCTCTCTCTCTCTCTCTGTATATATATATTCATCTCTGCGCTGTTTTTTATCTCATTCTGTTGACATCTATCTATCTATCTATCTATCTATCTATCTATCTATCTATCTATCTCATTTTGTTAATATCTAGCTTGCTTTCTAGGCTTTGTCGTCTTTTCATTAACTAAATATCAGATTTGTAGTTGAGATTATCTCATATTTTCCACTGGTCAGTTTTCAAGCCCGAGTAAAAGCTAGAACTTTGTGTCTCGGAGTTTTTAAGACAATGTAGACATTCAAATTTTGAACATCATTAGCATAAAGTAGGATTTCCTAAAATACATTTATTTCTGTACTTGTGAAATTTGTCATAACCCACATTTTGCCGAGGAAAAAAAATTGACATTGGATAGATTGCGGGTTATAAACGCCAGCCTATGTATTGACGTAAAATAATCTATGTACAAAAAATCGATTCTGTTGACACGAAGTGAAAGCAACAGGGTTAAAAAAAGAAAACAAAAACCCTCAAAGGCTTCTGCTGGCATAAATGTTAAAAAAAAAAAACTGGTTTCGCAGATCGTTACTACTGAATAGTTAGTTCGATTTTCATTCGATGTTCCTTATTGGTGGCCTTGTGCCAAACTATGGTAAATTTAGTTAATAACTTGAGCAAAAATATGTATCCTATAATTAGTTCTAGAAAATAATAATATGCACTCTTTAATAATAATAACAAAAGCAATAATAATCTGTACCCTATAAAGTACCCTATAGTGTACCTTATAATTACGTTTGTGTATGGAGCGTGCAATTGTACGCTTATGATATTAGGATTTAGTTTTGCTGTATGTGCGTCAGAGGTAAAGCGATACAGATAGAAATGAAGCGAAAAACGAGACAGAAAATGAAAAAGGAGTGAAATAGAGAGAAAGCGAGGAGAAGTCATTTGATAGAGAGAAAGAGTGAAGAGGAATAAGTAGGAAAAGACAATGATAGTAATAAAGAAAGAGAGAGTGAATAGAGAGAAAGATTGAAAAAAAGAAAGATCGGCCTAGTGATATGAAGCTATTTAGGGTAGGACAAGCCTGACAGAAGGTTGAGAACATTTAGTACAAACAAACTCTTATTCAATTTGCCGCAAAAATGCTTGGCACTCCTTAAATTCTTCTTGGCAAGGTACAGTAAATCAGTCATTTCAGGTGAGTGCAGCAAAGAAGAAATGAAGCAACCCCCCCCCAAACAACGGCATAATGCGTCGATAGGAGAGATAAGAAAATGATGAAAAGAAAAGATAGAAGATTGGGAAAATGAAAAAGAAGAAAAGAGACCCGGGAATTGTCCGGGGTATGCACAGAGATGGCATTCCGTCGCGATGACCCAGAAATAATTTCCTCACAGTGCGCTGATGACGTCACCAATGACGTCTAAGCAGATCTTGACGACATCTGTGACATCAAGAGTCACATGACACCGGCGTTGGCGTTCAAGCCCAATATATCTATATATGTAGCTAAATAAATATATGGAGCGAATATCAGGGATAGCTGGATATGATTTTTATATAAGTACAGGAGATACTTTTAAAACACATGCACACATCAGTCAAAGTCCATTATAGGTAAAAGCATTTATTTATGTATAGCACTCTATGTGCAATGTTCCTTCAGAACGTCGGTGATCACGGTCCTTCACAGCTTCCTTTTATTAATAATAAATTCGAGTTTCCATATGCATGCAAATTTTTAATTTTTATCTTTTAGTCCGAATATGCACGACTGTATTCTCGTATAACATCTGGCTAAATATATTTATGTGTAAAAATTCAGATAAAAATAAAAATGTATCCGTAAAATGACAATATTCCTAACTCTTTCTCTCCTCGCCTCTCTCTCACGTTCTCTCTCACTCACTCTCTCTCTCTCTCTCTCTCTATATATATATATATATATATATATATGTGTGTGTGTGTGTGTGTGTAGGTAGATAATAAGATTGTACATATTTATGATCATGCACAAAACTGGATTAATAAGTGTGCAGCCTAACATGTAATTATTCTTTGAAATCTTTATTGTAGATTATGAGCTCTATACTTATTTAAAAAAATCAATGAAATAGGTGCATTGACAAGGAAGGAGAGCATGTTGTAAAATCAATATTTGTTGTATAAAATGTTTTTTCCATTATTAGGCTACAGATCTATTGATTTGCCTAGGTATTTACAACGCACCGGTAAATATATATTGCATAATACACACACACACACACACACACACACACACACACACACACACACACACATATATATATATATATATTATCTCTTTACGCATCAGACACTTCTCCCACGTACAAGTGAAAACTTTAAACGTCATTAACTGTTCCAATATTGCAATGAAAACTGAGGTCGGCACTCAATGATGCTCTAAAAAATTGACCATGTGCCAGACATTGTGGTGCTGAAAATTTTATAAATAAAAATGAATAATAATAAAAATAAATAAATGTAAAAATTTGATGTTTTGACACATTTGGGAAGTTGGTCAGATAATAAACACCCCCCTCAAACAAAATGTTCATTGCTTCAATTTTCGTATCAGATATTTTTAATCAGGCATTTGTTAAAAAGCAAACATTTTCCCTTCACTTTTCTTCTTCAACCAACAGAGAATATCGTCAGAGAATATGGCAAATACAATTCGGGTAACTCTCATTGGCAAATTTACAGGTGGGACGGATTCAAATATTGTTCACTGATATAAATATATCTGCAATTAATATATATATACCTGTATTTATTATACAACATTTTACGCCTACATATCTGCATGCGCGTTATGATATATATTGGTATAATTCCATCCAGGTGTAGTTGCATGTTCCCTAACGATGCCAGCGGCCAGTGTTCGAGTAAGTCGAGATTTCAAATGCCAATTTTGAAGTCAGATTGGCTTTCATCTCTTGGAAAATTGGCCTCGGTTGTCTGTCAGCTTTTCTGGTAAACTAAACTGTATCTCGGGAATTACCGATTTTAATGGCATGAAAGCAAGCCATTGCTACATGAAAGACAGACGCTACACAATCTTCCTCCCGTAGCCATGTTGTATTTACAAGCTAATCTTTGTAAATCAACGTAAAAGTTAGTAAATGTCAGAAACACGCCTAGAGATAAATGTCCTGTTGTATTTACATACACTATGGAAGCCTAGTAATATTCGGAATTTACTAATTAAAATAGCTACCGCGGAAAGAATTCAGAGGGATGACAAGAAACCACACAGAATGGAGATCAATATAGATCGCATAGCGAAAGTCTTTAGGAAAAAGTTCCTAAAATAAAATCTAGAATAAGATTAGAAATTTGGGAACGTAATAGTAGACAAATTATGAGGTATAAAAAAGATCATTTAAAACCCAATCGTTGTTAGTTTGAGTTGAAAAGTTGAAAACAGATAAATAAGAAAAGTTGAAACGGGTTAACTAAAAATGTCAGCTCGTCTATACAAATTTACTCAAAATAATCCTCTGGTAAATTGCTTGATGTGCAGCGATGGGAAAAGTATATTGTCTCTGTCCACAAGAAGCTTATTGATGACGTTCGTTGCTCTGCAAGGCATTAATTCCTCCCGAACAGGCCAGTCCTTTTTCTTTTAATGCTGAGAAGTGTCCCTAATATCCCACATGTACAGAAAGCATGGGTGAACCCGGACTGTTGTTCCAACAAAAATTTCACCATCTACAGGTCAACGCAAATAAACAACTGATGCTGATAATAATAAATTTTCTCCAGCACATACTTCACTGCTTTATATTTATTTCTCCTTCATTGTAGTCGAGTGAGCGTCGGGCACAGCGGCAAACTGGTTGCCATTGTGCAGCAAAACACTTTTCACTTTTCAGTGATTGCTTGCTGCTGTCAGTGGACAGTCTCCAATCTTTGTGTTCGTACTGTGGTACTCCAATCTTCTCTTCAGAAAAAAACAGAGGTACCCTTGATGCCTTTTGCGGTAGAAAGTAATGCAAGCACTGTCAGAGAGGAGTTTTTTTTCCCTTCAATCTGAATGCCAACAGTTCGGCAGAAGAATTTGACATGCTGAGGCCGTGAACTCAATCATTTAGTTCCTTCATGATAAAAAAAGATGTGGATCATCATCGTCAACAAACACTTCTTCTTCTCCAAAGACAGGTATTGGAATTTCATCACAATGAGCTACAGGACAATTTGCTGATTGAAGATCAGGATACTTGAGGCTGCTGCAGTTCTTTCTTGTTGATCCCAGTCACATAAGTAGTACAGTAGTAGCAGCAGTCAGTGCTATGGTTTGTTGGCTTCATCCAAACCATGAGAATTCTAAACTTCAGACAACTCTGTACATTATTTACATTATTCGGACTATTGTCCTCATCTTTGTCGCCATATTTATTACAACGTTTCGCCCGTTGTACGCTCCGGCCTTCTTCAGGTGGTTGGAATGCCGAACTTAACCCTTTATTTCGCTCACTGGGGTAGACTGTTCTAGTTCCACGTGCCGTGTTTTTAATGAATTAATTGGATTTTTAAGGGTTATGTTCGACATTCCAACCACCTGAAGAAGGCCGCAGGGTACAACGGCCGAAACGTTGCAATAAATATGGCGACAAAGATGAGGACAATAGTCCGAATAATGTAAATAGTGTACATAATACCTCATCTCAGAAATATAGACAGATACTGAAAGACCGAAACGCTGTAATAAATATGGCAACAAAGATGAGGACAATAGTCCGAATGATGTAAATAATGTACATAATACCACATCTCAGATATATAGACAGATACTGAAAGGCCGAAACGTTGTAATAAATATGGCAACAAAGATGAGGACAATAGTCCGAATAATGTAAATAGTGTACATAATACCTCATCTCAGAAATATAGACAGATACTGAAAGGCCGAAATGTTGTAATAAATATGGCAACAAAGATGAGGACAATAGTCCGAATAATGTAAATGGTGTACTAAATACTTCATCACAGAAATATAGACAGATACTGAAAGGCCGAAATGTTGTCATAAATATGGCAACAAAGATGAGGACAATAGTCCGAATAATGTAAATAGCGTACATAATACCTAATCTCAGAAATATACACAGATACTGAAAGGCCGAAATGTTTTCATAAATATGGCAACAAAGATGAGGA